AAAAAAAAAAAAAAAAAAAAAATAAGACACAAAGATATTTATTTCAGCATTATTAGTAGATAGAAAGACAGTCTCTGCTTTGAGGGGCTTATATCTCAGTAGGAGAGTTGGTTGTGTAAATGTGTGCAAAAGCTAGTTTCTGACGCTGTAAGAGAATCCTAAATATGTGGGACCCTGAAGAGCCAAAGGAGAAAATTATCCATTCTATTGGTGGGAGTAGGGGTGAGACAACTTCATGGAGAGCGAATAGGTCTTCAGATGGTTGAATGGGGGTGGGAAGGTAGATGTTTCTGGGCAGTGGGCGTTGCCTCGTATTTTTCTGAGCAGGCAGACAGTGGTTGGTGGGGCAATCCAGAGGTGGTCATGTTTGGTTGTGTAGGGACTCTTGATGCATTGCTAGGTAGGGTCATAACATGATCCAATTTGTCTGTCTTTTTTTTTTGAGTCAGAGTCTCACTCTGTCACCCAGACTGAAGTGCAGTGGCCGCTCCCAGCCACCGCAGCCTCAACCTGCTGTGCTCCGGTGATCCTTCCATCTTAGCCTTCCAAGTAGCTGGAACTACAGGCGTGTGCTACCACGTCCAACTAATTTTTTGATTTACTGTAGAGATGAGGTTTCACCAAGCTGCCCAGGCGGGTCTCGAACCTGCAGGCTCAGGCAGTTCACTCACCTTGGCCTCCCAAAGTGCTGGGATTACAGTCTGAGCCACCGAGCCCGGCCCAATTTGTCTTTCATAGTGGCGATTCAGCAGCAACCCAGGAGATCTGAGGTGCTGGGGCTAGGAGGACGGTGGCGACTACAGACCAAGTGAGAGCTCCTTAGCATAGCTAGATGAAAGGATGGTGACAAAGGGATGGGGACGCCCAAACGTGAGCAAATGCAGTGGGGTACAGAGGGAGCGCCATTCATGAGCGTGGACCCAGGAGATGGCCTTGTAGTGGGTAGGGGCTCATGGTAGGAACCATGGCCCTGGGGTTTGCTTTGATTGCCTTCCAGGCTTTTTTTTTTTTTGAGACCTGGTTAGGCTGGAGTCCAGTGACATGATCATGGCCCTTCGCAGCCTTGACCCCGTGAGCTCAGCTTTGACTTTCCACCTGAGCCCCTGAGTAGCTGGGACTGCAGGTGTGTGCCACCACGCTGGGCTCATTTTTCACTTTTTTGTAGAGATGAGATCTCGCTACGTTGCCTAGGCTGGTGTCAAACTCCTGGGCTCATGCAGTCCTCCTGCCTCGGCCTCCCAAAATGCTGAGATTACGGACATGAGCCACAGCCTCCAACTGCCTTCCAGGCTTTTTGAGCTTTTTGGCATTTATCATCTTCCCTACACTTACCTGGCATGTTAGTTTCTCCAGACTCTACATTTAACTCACAAAAGTTAGCCTCCACTTCAGTCAGTTTTTTGCTACTACAACAGAATACCTCAGATTGGGTCATTTGGAAAGAAAAGAAATTTATTTCTCATAGTTCTGGAGGCAGGGAAATGCAAGGCCAGCTTCTGTCGGGGACCTTCTTTCAGTGTCATGACATGCTGGAAGGCGTCACAAGACTAGAGGGCCTTCAAGAGAGGCAATGGGAGTGGCTCCTGCAGTTACCAACGCATCCCTCCATTCCATTCGAGGGCAGAGACTCGTGATGACACCATGACCTTTTAAAGGCCCTTCCTCCCAATGCTGTTCCACCTGCAATTACATTTCAACATGAGCTTTGGAGGGGCTGTTCAAACCATAGCACCCTCCAATAGTTCTGTGTGGGTTTTCACTATGACTGGTAACCTTTAACTTTTCCTCTATCTAACAGTCATCTTTCTAGTTTAAAATTCAGTTGTAAGACTTCTCACTTTGCAAAATGAACTTGCGAAGTTTTCGTGAACTTCACAATCTGCGTTAAAAAAGGATTGTTGCCAGGCACGGTGGCTCACACCTGTAACCCCAGCACTTTGGGAGATGGAGGTGAGGGGATTGCCTGAGTCCGGCGCTTGAGATCAGTCCAGGCAACTTGATGAGACCTCATCTCTACAATAAATTAAAAAATCAGCCGGGTGTGGTGGCACGTGCCTGTGGTTCCAGCTACTTGGAATGCTGAGTTGGAAGGATCACCTGAGCCCAGCAGGTTGAGGCTGTGGTGGTCATGAGCTCGCCACTGCACTCCAGCCTAGGTGACAGAGTGAGACTCCTACTCAAAAAAA